CTAGCTTATTCCCTTATTCCCTCAGGCTAGGCCCACAGAAGCCTCTGCTAGCCTATTCCTTTATTCCCTCAGGCTTGTTCCCACAGAAGCCTCTGCTAGCTTATTCCCTTATTCCCTCAGGCTAGGCCCACAGAAGCCTCTGCTAGCCTATTCCTTTATTCCCTCAGGCTTGTTCCCACAGAAGCCTCTGCTAGCTTATTCCCTTATTCCCTCAGGCTAGGCCCACAGAAACTCTGCTATAATATTCCCTCCCCCCCCCCCTTTTCAGGCTAGGCCCACAGAAGCTTTAGTGAGTTCGGCGAAGAGGCAGGAGTCAAGTCTGTGGTAAGAACAGCTGCTTTATTTCTAACAGGAAACTATGAACAAGGCGATTCAGCACCTTCCCTACTTGACAGCTATTTATACGGAGCTGTCAAGAAGGGAAAGCCAATAAGCGCACCCTTAGTGGCCGGCGCTTAGCCAAGCCACGCCTTAGCCAATCAGGGTGCGGCTTGGCTTGTTGCTGGCCGCTAGGTCGTAAGTCAAGGATTTTCTTGATCCTCAACACCCCTTCTCCCCCCCCCCCCCGTGAGAGCACATGTGCGGACGTAGCGCATGTGTACTCGCTCAGATAGGCGGGGCGCCGCCGGACACCTCCCGAACGCCTCAGTTGGATCGGAGTCGGCAGAGGAGTGAGTCATGCTCGTGGTAGCTCCTCCCCAAAGGGAGTTGAGCTATGAGTGACACCATCTTGGACAGGCCCAGAAGGCGGGTGCAACGACTGAGGTAGGCCGGGCCGTGGAGGCGCGGTGCTGGGGAAAGGAGTACAGTACCGGTAGGCAGCGGTCGGGTTATGCAGGCTGTATAGGGCCGGAGGAACAAGGCTTCGGAAACCGGGAGGGGGGGGTGCCGGAATGGTTTGAGAAGAACATGGAAATGGGTAGGAGAGGCCTGACTGTGGGAAGGCCTCAACGTGGGGATAGACGGCTGTGAACTCAGGTTGAGAGTCAACTAGGGAAGGTTGCCAGCTGGCGGCAGTAGGGTAGGAGACGTCTGGTTGGGGAAAGGCCTCGAACTGGGAGTTGTTGGCCGATGGCCACAGGTTTGCGGTGACCGGCTGGAGGGCGGTGGTGTCCAGGGCCGTTGGATCAGTTGCGGTGCTGGTCTTGGGAGGCAGTCTTCTTCTTAACTGATCCACGTGGCGCCTCCATTCGGTGCCATCGGCCAGGGAGACCCTATAAGAGCAGGGATTGGTTACGGAAAGAATAGTGGCGGCCACCCACTTAGAGTCCCCTGAAAAGGAGCGAGCCTGTACTAGATCCCCCACTCAAAAAGTGCGGGGGGGGGAGCCCCCAGGTTGCAAGGCTGCTCCCCTGAATAAAACAGATGAAGCCTATCCAGGGGGGTTTGCAGGCGCCGACCCATCAGGCGCTCCGTGGGGCTTTTGTTGGTAGTGGGGCAAGGGGTGGAGTGCTGGCTTAGCAGGTAAGCTGCCACCCTTGCTGGCCAATCGCTCCGTTCCATCCTGCCGAGGGCTTCCTTGGCCGAGTGGACAGTGTATTCTGCCTGGCCCTTGCAGGCTGGATGATAGGGGGCGGTTGGCACGTGACGGGTGCCCTGCAAGGCCAGGAACTCCTGGAACACAGCGGATGCGAATTGAGGGCTGTTGTCGGACACCACAACGTCTGGCAAGCCGTGTGTCACGAACAAGCGGCGCAAGGCCCTGATGGTACTCTCAGCTGTGGTGGTGGTCATAAGGACCAGCTCCACCCAGCGTGAGTACCCGTCCACTACGATTAGGAATACCTGGCCATGTAAGGGTCTGGCGACATCAATGTGAAGCCGTGACTACGGCCCTCTCAGAGCCTCCCACTCCCGAGAAGGGACCGCTGGGGGGACCCAGAAAGTTGACAGGGGGAGCAACGGGCCACCCAGGCCGCAATCTCAGCATTCAATTGGGGCCACCAGACATAGCTGCGCACCAAAGCCTTCATGCGCGCTAGGCCCGGGTGGTCCCTATGGAGCTGAGAGAGGACAACTTGTCCAATTCCGCATCCACCTTTGGCCTCAAGGCAAAAGGCACCCTGCGAGCCTTAAGCCTAATAGGAGCAACCTGAGGGTCAGGTTTAAGAGAGATGGGGGTCCCCTTGTACGCCCCCAGCTGGCCATCGAAGACGTCCGCAAACTCAGCAAGGACGTCTTCTAAGCTGGGGGAGGAGCCAGCCACCCGATGCACCCCCTCAATAGTCAACCCCAGGACAGGGAACCAGTCCAACCCCAATAAGACAGGCAAAGCATTTTCTACAATTAAGACAGGAAGGCGGCCATGAAAAGAGCCGTAGTCCACCCAAATAGGGAAACAGCCCAGGGTGGGAATTAGAGTCCCCTGGTAGTCTCTAATTCCAGTGTTAGCTGGCGCCAGCTGGTCACGGCTGATCTTAGGACACAGTTGGGTGAAAGATGACCAGGACAGCAGGGAGTGGGAGGACCCAGAGTCAACTTCCGCTCATCCTAGGTGGCTGTTCAGAAGCCTCTGCTATAATATTCCCTTTCTCCCCTCTCAGGCTAAGCCCACAGAAGCCTCTGCTAGACTATTTCCTTTATTCCCTCAGGCTTGGGCCCCCTTCCTCTAATCTCCTCTCTCCATGCTTTTCCCCCAGCAAGTCCCTCCTTCCTCCCCTTCCACTCCTCCTGTCTCCTCCCCTTCCTCCCAAACTCCCCATTTATTCCTTCCCCCCTGCTGCACATACATACTCCGTGTCCTGTCTAATCAGAATCTAGTGCCATGTGATAGAAGATGTGGTTCTTGTCTCTCTAAGATAATCGCCAACCGTCAGTGTAGAAGAGAGAGAGTTGGCTTGAGCCTACTAGGGTAAAAGATCCAAAAGCCAATTCAGATAGAGTTAACTTTTGAAGAAATGTAGCATCTCCTTATAAAGAAAATCATTTGGGAAAAGGGGAAGCTGTTTTCCACATTATATTTCTTTTAAGATGCTCTGATTAAGTAGACTAGTTGCTGATTGACATGAGAAGATGAAAGAGCAAAACTTCCCTGACAGTTGGATTTCTCAGCTGATAAATGCGAGTTTGGCCACTGAGGAAGAGACCCAAGTGATCAAAATCATTCAACTGTACAGTTTGTTCTTTTGTTTTAATACTATCTTCTCCTTAAGGCTTATTTCCCCTCTTAAAAATATGAGGATGGGGATAATGAAGTTTAACTGCTCTCCATGGTAGATGGAGATGTCATGCCCCAAAGGTGCTTTTCCAAAGGGCAACGGGACTTGTGCATAGGTGTACTGCCACCGAATGATGCTTTGCACTCACACACACTGCTTGCCCACATCTTTGGTTGGGTTCCTAAAGGGCTGCGGACCATCACCAAGCCATTTAACACAAGTTGGGGACCTCTGTCCTAATAATATCAATATTGTCATAGCTTCCAGTATTGAAGGGTTTGCCATAAAGAAGAGAAGTCAATCTATTCTCCAAAGGGCCTGAAGGCAGAACCAGAAGCAATGGATGGAAACTTTTATTTAGCGTATGGCACTACATGGACATAGTGGTTCGACTGTTAATGTCCAGCCCACCAACATTTACCTCAATATTGATTATGAACTACATGATTTTGCTGACATGCATAATGTTGTTTAAATTTTACATCTGAAGCTAAACATTTCATTAATAGACTGCAGAAAAATAATAAAAAGGTTATAAAATAATAACAATTCTAGCTTAAACTTAATACTTTATTCTAAGGTCTTAACGGTATTGCTAGTTGCAGTTTATGCAGAAAAGGAAAAAGGAAACAAAAACAAGGGAATAACAACAAAATAGAAAAGGCTCACTTCGTTCTTTTTTGTGTGTCTACCGATCTGCAGTATCTGTAAGCATTTAGGCCCTCTTTGAAATCATATTGTAAATATTTGTTTTTGGCACATTCTGTAGTGAATCTTTCGAAAACACACTAATCCAGGAACTGCAAACTCAGAAAAACAATCAAACTGTAAATAGCATTCTAATCAAGGGACGACCAAGGGACAAACAACAATCTCAACTAAATGTCTGCAAACAATAAAGCTCAAAGACCCCCAAGGACTCAAAAAGAGAAGACTTTCTCTACAGATTTGTAGAATTGCTAAGGTCTTTTTGTACCCACCTGTAGCTGCTTCGCTGCTTAACTAAATATCTTTCCATCCCTTCTTACTGACCTGGGAATTTGAGATTTTGCCTGTGGCCTCTTTTTCTCTTCTGGAACATGCTTGAAAATAGACTCTCTTGTTATTTCCTCTTTTTAGGAACAGTTTAAAGCCTTAAGATTCAGTACTGAATTTGAACTGGTTTCTGACTGGTTCTATCTTATTTTTTCTTATTGTTGCTTCATCTCATGAATTAACTGTTTTTAGGTGACTTCTGGAAGCAGCAGGTGTGGATGGTGCTTCCCCTGAATTTGTAGCAATCTTATTTCTAGAAAGCAAAATAAGCTGAGTATTTTATAAGCATCGTGCAGTTCATGTCCTACACAGCATTAGTTGTGGATTGATGTGTAAGAAGTTAGCACCCAGCCCTCTCCTAGAAAAATGAAATATCCTGGAAAATATTGAAAAGGGAGAACATATTTCCCTGGATCAGAAATGGAGAAACATGTTTTTAGGCACGAAACAGACTCACTCTTAATAGCCCCCACTTTCCTTAATGGGCCATTAAAATGCCTGAATCCGTCTATTCTACATAACAAAGAGCCCCTTCAGATCCAGGGTAATGGGATTAAGGCATGATAGTATTAGCTCTTTACCTATCTCTCCACAGGACACCTGGGAAAATGCAATGTTTACAAAACTTGGACTCAAGGCAGCCTACAGAGTTGCTCCTCTATGGCCCCATGGGAGCCTGAAAACCAATCAGAATACATTTCTTACACAAGAGCAGGAAACAGAGAGGTGGGGCCGAACAGAGTATAAAAAACACAGCAAGCCCCTTCTTCTCTCTCTTTTTCTTCTTCACCCAACATCTGGATCCACCTTTTCTGTTCAGGACCTCAAACCATGTGATCCTGTCCACCATTAAACCATCTTCCCAAGCAGCCTCCATGTTTCCAGTGTCTTTTT